ACGTTGCATCGATCGTTTTGAAGCTTTCGTCATTCGAATGGTTAACTGCGAAAGTCCGCGACCCTTGGGAGAGCAGTTCAGGCGCAAGCAGCTGCAGTGGGACGGCGAGGGGCAGTGGCGGTCACGGCGACGGCGGAAGCCAGTAGCCTTCGGCCCACCCCGCCACTGCGCTGGGCTATATCACCGGCCCTGGGGACAGCGCTTGGGGTTCCTGGTGGGCTCGTTGGGGGGATCTCGGGGGCCTGGGTGGCCCACTCTGGTGCGTCTTGGGGTCTGCTGGGGCTGCCTCTGTCGGGTCGCTTGGAGGTCTTGGGATCGTGCTGGAAGAGTTGGCTTTCAGCTGCGCGGCGGCAGCGCACTTTTTCTCGGCCGCTCTCGGGGTCGTCTCGGAGGGCCTCTCGTGTCCTCCTCGGGCCTCCTTGGGCCGGTCTTGGGCGCTCCTTGGGCCGTCTTGTCTCCTCTTGCAAAGGTTGCAGCAGCGATGTTGTATCAGGCGATCGCAAACATGGATCAAGGGGGCGTGGATTAGCGACGGGTCCCGTTTCCTTAGGAAATCGCGGATTTCAGCCGCCGAAGGAGGCGGCACCGGCCGCATTTGGGGGAGGGCACGTCTAATCCATATTTGCGCGTCCCCGATTGTAAGCTCACCAGAACGAGTCGAAGAGATTCGGCTGATTCTAGCCTCCTTGGCTGGCCCCTCGGGTATTCCGAGACGGCTCGAGAGGCTTCCAAGAGAGCATCCAAGCTGGCCGAGGTTGTTCCCTTTTGGCGGGCCTAGTGCCCAATGGTGGCCAAGCTTGCCCCAATATCACCCGACTCACTCCAAGGACCCCTTCCTTGGGATCACCCCCAGGGACCAGCTCCCTCCCAGGACCACCCCTGGGGACCCCCCGCTCTCCCCGCGGGGAAGGCATCAGAAGGAAGGGGCTTCTCTTCGATTCGATGGCGACCTGGGTCGATTCGGCTCGGGTTGGCGAGCGTGGAGAGCTCTAGGTGACGGCAGGGAGCTGGGGCGAGAACTTCGAATTGAAGAGCGTCCCCCGGGACCGCGCCGGGACGGCCTCCTCGGGGCTCAAGGATCGGGGGTTTTTGCAACAGGGGGTCAGTCAGAGCGCCGGAGTTTGCAGGATCTTGCAGGGCCGGTGTTGCACTGACCCGTGTGTGCGTGCACGATTTTGCTGCAGGATCCTGCAGGATCCTGCAAGGCCTGATTGACCCGGGTTCGGATTGACCGGGGTTAGGAAATCCCTTTCCCCGCAGGGATTCGCCCTCACATACGCCGACAGGGTCGGCTAATTTGACAAGTCACCTATTGGCGTTCTTCCTTTCCCGCCACCGTGCTCGTGACGTGAGCGAGAGGCTTGTTGGATGCCTCTGTGGTCCTTTTGGGGGGTCTCTATGGGGCCTTTTGGTGGCCTCATTGATTCCTCTTTGGATCGTGTTTTTGGGGGATGTCTTTGCCGATGTACTCGGTGACTCCTGGGTGCCCCATGGAGTGTCTCGGGGAGGCAGCCTGGTGGCCTGCTGGTCCCCAAGAGTTTCGTGAATCATGTGTGTCGGGCCCGTACAGAGTACTCGCAATGCTTGGTATTGAGAGTTCGAAGGTGCTTCTCTCAGTGCCTCGTGGTACGGTGGTAGATCTGATGTTGACGAGTGCGTGCCACTCGCTGGACATGCATAGTTAACCTGATACCTGCTTGAATCATGAGGACGAGGAAGGGCCCGGGAGATGGACGGTATAGTGGAGATGTTGGCGTGCGTCGATTGCTTGGTGGCGTCGGCCCACATCGAAACTCACAGTGCTTAATGCGCTGGCGGGTAATTGGACGTACCTTGGCACGTGCATGCGTGTTCTTAGATGCCTTGAGGCGCCCGCAGGTAACGAGCTTGCCTGGCGAGGCGTCCAAGCTGTGCAGTCGCGCTTACCGTAGGAGGGTCTCTCCTGAGACCGTGCGGACACCCCCGCTGGGGCTGCAGGTGGGGCCCGCGTATGTGGCACGAGCCGTCTGAAGAGTGTGCCGATATGGTCGGAAGGGCCGCCCCAGATGCGGCAGAGGGAAACAATTAGTGGACGCTCCCCCGCCCCCCAAAACTCGAAAGTTGGCACGCGCAGGGAAGACTGCGGTCGAAGTGCTACTCATTCAACCCACCGCCAACATCGATCATCGGGGAGGGCATTTCAGGAGGGGAAAAAGACACAGACACAATTAATCGTCGATTCCCAGGGAAATATGGGAAAATATGGGAAGTGGGGGAGACGACAAGACCCTGAAAATATGGGGAGCCCAGTTATTTGTGTCTATTTATTTGTGTGTCCCAGGGCCCCTTCAACATTGGCAGATGAATGTGGCAGGAGCGTTCGCTGATCTCCTCCGAGGCCCGTGTCGGAGCTTGTGCCGTTCGTCGCGGCGTGGCCCTCCAGAGGTCCAGACCCCCTGCAGCGGAGCCCGGCTTTTCACCCCGAGTCGCTCTGTTGCCGGATCCGGGGCCCGGCAAGGGCTCTCAGAGGCCGAAACGGCCAAGAACCGTCCGACGTGTTTTTTAGAGGGCATTGTCTCATTCCAGGGGCGATCGCAAACGTAATGGGGGGGGTAGCGTAACGTTTCGTGCCGATGCAATTCGAAGGTCAGCACGGATCGTGACGTCACTTTGGGGGGGGGGGGGGCGGCTGGGACCAGGAACGGCCGCTATCGCGAAGCTTAACAACACGCACGCCGCAAGGATGTCAGGGGTGTGCAAAGCTCGGCCTCTGAGGGCCATCACTAGGCCACAGAATCGCCACGAAACGGCTCGGGATGAACAAATGGTCACGGTGAAGGGGTCCAGGCCTCTGGGGCTCGACGCTTGAAAAACAAGTCGCGGCGTCGGAGGTTTGGGGGTGAGGAGGGGCACGTGCAGCGCTGCGGAGAGATGTCGAGGACACAGCAGCGCTGGAGGAGTGGGGGCAGCCTGTTTTGGCAGAAAGAGAGAGAGAGAGAGAGAGTAAACAAAAAAGAACGTGAAAGAAAGAGAGAGAGAGAGAGGCAGAGATAAAAGGATATAGAGAGACGGAAGAGAGAGAGAGAGAGAGAGATCGCTGAAAGCGGGACGGAGTGAGAGCAAGACAGATTGGAAAACAAGGGATGCCCTTGCACCGCCAGCATACGTCCATGCATCCGGCGCTTAGAAGTCGAGCCCCGGGGACCTCGAGGAGCCTTAGATATTTATGAGTCGCTTCTCGCCCCCGAGGGTGGGAAGACATCGACATGCCCTGCTCCCCTCGGACTCAGGCCAGGACTCCGGCAGCCCTGGGCATGGATGCCTCCAAGCGGCGCATCTCGGGCTGCTGGAGTGCTACCGAGTCCCCAGCGGGCGCCGAGCCGTCTTAAGCGTCACGCCGCCAGGCCTTCCAGCTGGCGCTGGTAAATTCCGTCGGGGATGCCAGGGTCCGCCTCGATCCGGTTGGTCCGATTCGATGTTGATTCCGGCCGGCTCGGTCCGATTCGATTCCAATATTTCGACGACCCGCTGCGGCCCGAGGCCTGCGTGGCGTTGTTGTGCATATCCTCTCGTGGCCGATCCGCCTCGATGCTCGACTCCGTGCCGATGTGGCCCGATCTGGCGCACGTTCCGGTCCGACCCGACTTCCCGATCCGAGGCGGATTGATCATCGCAGGGCTCGATCGCACAGTGGGGGGGCGCATCACGGAACCAGATGTTTTTCGTCAGGCTATCTTGGGCTGCTTCGCTCCGCGCACTGCGCGGCGGCTTCCCGCGGCCGTTGAAGGAGCTGCTGCGTTCGGGGTGCTCCAGGTTTCCTTTCAGGCGCAGCTCGCGCGCGGGTTTTCTGGGTTTGGTTTTGTGGCGAGGGTTTCTTGCGGCCGCGCCCACACTGCATGAGTTCTTGCTCGGGTCGAAGTCTTGCTCAGGAGCAGGACGACCGTGGCATGAACTGGAGGCTGCCATCTCCCCGAGATCCGACGGGTATGAACGCTCGCAACGTCGCGAAGCCAAAACACGACCAGAGCCCCAGATGACATCATTCTGCGGCACTCTTCGAGGCGGATCGCTGCGCGATGGTCGCAGGGCACAAAACTGGGCGCAACCGTCCGGGGTGAACAAAATGCGACGCCCAGATTTCCAGGCCGCTCGAACGCTGATGAGGACATCACATTTGAGCGCTGACCCATTGGACGTAGTGTCCACCCAGCCGCCCGTCTCAATTCCCTCCCTCCCTCCCTCCCTTGATAGGGGGGCTCGTGGGGATTCGTCGGGCTGGACGAGGGGTATTACACGGAAAGGGGGGTTACGAAATCTGTTGCTGGCAGCTGGTTTCCGCCCCTCCGCCGGGCCTATTCCTCGATACATGGGCGCCGCCTCCCGGCGCCAGGAGCCGCCAGGAGAGCCGGCCACATGATCTGACTCTCTACCCTGCCCTGTGTTGGACTATGCTCAGAGGAGCATAAAGTATTGATATTGATAGTTTTCCAGATTTCCAGGTTTTCTTGTTCCGCGCGGGCTCCAGGGACGAATGGTCGAGCGCATTCCGTCGCGCAGGTTTTTTGCGTGATGTTCGTGGTGCATTTTTCGCGCATCGGAGCGCCCTCGAAGATTCCAAGCTGCATGCTGTGTTGCTCTTGGGCAGTCCGCGAGTCGCAGCTGCCGTGGCGCTGTTTTCGAGGTGGCCCCTTCGAGTGCTGTTCGCGGGCGCAACGCGCGGGTGCGCTGCGCCCAATCGCGCGCGGCGCGGCGCGTGAATCAGCCGGCCGCGCCCATCGGACCGCCCGGACATTATTTCTGGATTGTAGAATGTGTCAGAAAACACTTCCGCTTTTTTTTTGCGCAAGCGGTTTCTGAATTTCTCACAAAAGCGAGCCCGGAAAGTTTCAAAAAAACAGTTTTGAGGGGTGGAATGCGCCCGCCGCGCAGGACATTTGAAGAATCCTGAAATCCAGAATTTTTCAAAATGGATTCTGGGATTTTTCAAATTCGATCCCGGAAGTTTTCAAAAAGTAGGCCGG